GGCTCTGTAAGCTGCAGTAACAGCGGGACGTCTGCGCAGGCTTGTAACGATAATCAATAAATCGATTCATCGTACGATAACTTTTAATGAGCTCGATGACTTTTCCTGCTGTGATAAATTCTATTTGCATGTCGTTTTCTTTTCTTCTCTCTCTGTACCAAAGAATATTCCACAATGTAAATCAACGACTAAAATCACTTTTAAAGACACTTTTGATACAGAGAATTAATAATCCATTTTATTTTTTTGTTTTGGTTGTGTTTGGTTCAACATTGGTTTATTCAAGTGCATTTTGTTCAAGTCCTCGCTGTGACCCAGACACATGAGGCTGTTCTTATGTGAACTGTTTTATTGAGGCCTGTTGTTTTTGTTTGTCTTAAATGTTCTTTAGAAAGTAAAGTTTATTGATCTTTGAAAGGACGTATTTGCATTTTTATTCAACGGTCATTATATTAGTTGAAATTGGTCTCAAAATGTCAATATTATCGCTGTTTTATCATAATAAATTCTTGGACAATTAATCATTCAGCAAAATATTTTATCGTTACAGGCCTACGTCTGCACAGCAGCAACAACAGGACGTCTGCGCAGCAACAACAGGACGTCTGCGCAGCTCTTGTAGAACATCTCTCAAAATGTCAATATTATCGATTTTTATCACAATAAATTCTTGGTCAATTAATTGTTCAGCAAAATATTTAATCATTACATCGGGACGTCTGCGCAGCTCCTGTAGAACATCTCTGTGTTTCTCAATGGGAAAGAGGATCAGACTTGCCCGGACACGTTCAGCCGCTTTATCAGATCCACAGAGAAAATAACTGAATAAACTTGTATTTACCTTCTGTACAGACTGAAAACAGCAAACACACGATAGACAAAATCAGGTTAAAAACTCAAATGTCTGGACCTGAGCTTCTTCACACGACACAGAGCCGCTCCAGGAGCTCACGGTCCTGAAGGAAACTGCCCAAACACAACAGCACATGCAGGTTTTCTGTGGATTCTGACGCGGACACTCACCTGAAACAGGCTGGATTCTATTATTTTTAAATCTACACATGACGTGCTGCTGCATACACGCGCCGGGGGCTTTAATACATTCTAAAATAATAAAGGTCCAAAACGTGTGTGGGGAAAACCCACCGTGTGCAGTGTGTCTCTGACCTAAAGCAGGTACAGAACAGAACTCATACTGACTCTAGAACAGGAGTCAAACTCAAACTCACAGAGGCCAAAATTAAAAACTGAAATCAAGTCGTGGGTCAAACTAAATATTTATTGAAACATTTCAACAACATCTGCATTTTATCTTTTCTTTTGAGATCTGTAATGTTAAAACTTTTTATATTAAAATAAATGTTTAATAACGGTTTTGCTTAAACATTGAATCCAGAACAAACAGAATATAAAATAATAACAACATTTTAAATAAATAATGTCTGTATAATGTATCTGTAGCCGTCGGAGCAGCTCTCATTTGTATGTGAAATGATCTCGTGGGCCAAATATAATTCTATCGTGGGCCGAATTTGGCCCCCGGGTCTGAGTTTGACATGTGTGCAGTATAACAGTATAAAGTTTTATTCCAGTGAAAGTGTTTTTACCCTTTGGAGTTACACCAGGCGAACAGCGACCCATCTCGACTGAAGCACAGAGACCGACTCGGCGAAGAGTCTCTGAAAACACGAGAGGAAGAGAATTAAACAAACCAAGTACTAGGGGTGTGCAAAAATATCTGAATATCGATATATCGTATCGTTTAATGTGATGATACAGTATCGATATCGTGGGCTGCTGCATCGATATTTCACCAAGAGTATTTTTAGGTGTGTTTTACTAAATTATTTTGTTCCAGCTACAGTTTTGTTGCTTGTGGAGTGAAAGGAAACTCATTTATGTGACACATTTGACATTTTTACTGTTTTGATGATTAAAATGTTTGTGTTTCATATGAACTTTGCACAAGAAGAAGTTTAACAAAGACTTTTAGTATCACAGCCATGATTTATTGAACAGTATCGAATCGATTTGAAATATATCATATCGAATCGAAAGTGCACTGTATTGAGATATGTATCGTATCATGGCCTGTGTATCGAGATATGTATCGTATCGGCAACTCCTTAATGACACCAGTCCTACCAAGTATGTCTTATGTGACACATCTGACTTCAGTCTCTGATATTTTTGCTGTTTATTAAAAATGTATTATTAATTTTGTTCATAATATATTGCAGTGTGTGTGTGTGTGTGTGTTATTGTGTGTGTGTGTGTGATGTGTGTGTGTGTGTGTGTGTGTGTGTGTGTGTGTGCTATGTGTGTGTGTGTGTGTTATTGTGTGTGTGTGTGTGTGTGTGTGTGTGTGTGTGTTATTGTGTGTGTGTGTGTTATTGTGTGTGTGTGCTATTGTGTGTGTGTGTGTTATGTGTGTGTGTGTGTGTTATTGTGTGTGTGTGTGTGTGTTATTGTGTGTGTGTGTTATGTGTGTGTGTGTGTTATGTGTGTGTGTGTGCTATGTGTGTGTGTGTGTGTGTTATGTGTGTGTGTGTGTGCTATGTGTGTGTGTGTGTGTGTGTTATTGTGTGTGTGTGTTATTGTGTTATTGTGTGATGTGTGCTATTGTGTGTGTGTGATGTGTGCTATTGTGTGTGTGTGTGTGTGTGTGTGTTATTGTGTTATTGTGTTGGACTCACGTCTGAAAAGCAGGATGAGGTTCACACTTTGGTCCAGAGAACAGGGAGGTGCCCTGGGAGCCTCGCACTGGAACAAAACAATTTGAAACCGACAAAATGTGAAATGTTAAGTGTTAAATGTTAAAGTTTGTATAGATGATTTTTTTAAGGGAAGAGAAATACAGCGACAGTCCTTGTGCGCGTTCAGAATCACTGTTGGAGTTTCCTGTCTAGAAGTAATTCAGCGACCGACGCATCAGTTTTTAGACCCTTCGTCTGCTTCGGTCGCGCCATCGCTGGACGAGATCTCCAAGAATCACCTCAGTTTGTCTTTGCTCCTTTTTCTCTTCTCTTCTTCTTTCAGCGACCTCAAAAACTGACTTTCTTTTGCGGCGAACCGGTCGTGGATTCTCGTCCACCGTCACGACAAACTTTGTGCGAAATGCGAGGAAGCGACAGTTCTAAGAACCGCCACGTAAACCACATAATCCCCGCGCTCCGACGAGTCAGTTACACTAGGGAGTTTGATTGACAACCTAACAGCCAATAGAAAATGAGGGAGCCTCGTTTTCTATTGGCTGATGTTTATCTGGAATCACTACGTCCACAGTTGATAGATTTTCGTTCTTTTTTTTTTTGGTCATTATAATTACAAAGCTGCTGCGTCTCTGTGATGATATTTTAATCCTTCACTGACAGTTTGAAACTAAAAAAAATCCTCCATACAACCTTTAAATGTTAAATGTTAAGTGTTAAATATATTCCAGTGCACGAGTCATGGGGCTTCGTTCTCACTGACACATGGGACAGTGAACATAAAACATCAAACATAAAACAAAACATTTCAGAATCTGTGGTAAGAGCTTGAAAAAACAGACTAAATCAGTCCTCTAAAGGCTGCCACTCGTGACGTCACTACATGAAACAGAATCTGAGCTTTTTAGTGAAACAGGTTCAGTTCTGGTTCAGTTTTTCACTCGTGTGATTCAGGACGAACTCTTAAATCCACGTTTACACACGCGCTCCGAACTCTCACGCTGAGCCTCGTCCACTTCGTAAACGTGCCTCTGCGCGCTAAAGCCGAGCGTCACAAAACAACAGCGTTTGCGTCACGATTTAATAAAGGACGAGGGAGAATTCGGCATGAATCTGACCTCGCTGCAAACGTCCGCTCGGCTCAAACCGGCGACTTCAGAACGAGACGCAATACATTTGAAGAGCCGCGAAGTTTGCGCCAGTCGACGAGGGCTCACGTCAAAACACGCACTTTTGTTTAAAACGGGTTCACTCACTTTCAAATTAAACACGCCGAGTTTTTCTTTAGTTTAAACGTGTCAGATTCCGCAGTTTGTTAGCAGAAATTTATTTACGTTACATTAAATAATTACGTGTAAACATAAAACTGTCATAAATCTACATGGGATTCATTTACCCCATGACAACCTCTGTATTTTTCGTCTTTTATTTAATAGAAAAACAAACCGGGGCCATTTTGTTTCACGTTTAAGCCAAACGCTTAAAAAGCCCCGCACTGAGGCTTTAAAGTCCCACAAACGAGTTTTAAAAGAGTTTAATTCAGACCCACCTGCCAACAGCGGGACCGGGGGCGCCATGTTTACGTGCCCGACGTACGTACCCACGCGGGGTGACGTAAACGCGACGCGACGGGGGGCGGGGCGTGTCTCGCAGTGCCACGTCAGCATCAGAGTTCAAATAAAACGAGTTAAAAACGCGACAGAAAAGGAAAAAAACCTGGAATAATGTGTGAAAACGTGGAACAAACACCGATGCGATTTGTGACGTAAATGTGACTTTTTAACGAAGTTCGTCGGTTCGTTTCGTGTCGTTTGTGCAAAGCTGCTGAAGAAGAGTCGAAAAACGGGCGCGACTTCCGGTTTCAAAATAAAATAACACGATTCAACTACGTTTTACCGAGAAATAAAGCTGAAAATGTGCATTAAACTAAAACAAATACTGTCAAAACACTAGGAACCAAATATAACAACGATATTTAAGGCCTAAACGTAATTCGGTTTTAAAAATGTGAAAATTATAAAACTGAATAAACCAATGATGTGAAAGGAAAGGCACGTACGCGTCCTCGTTTAAGTATTTTTATTTATTTATTTTAGTAGTAGTAGTATAGTATAGTGACAAAATCTTTAAAAAACGTTGCTAAAAACAGATTAAATAAAAGTTAAATCGGGTTGGGTTGGGTCCGGGCGGATGTCGGCGGTTCTCCCTCCGCAGCTTCCCCGGGCCGGAGCGTCTGCGGGGCGGCTCCGGCTCCGGCCCGGCCCCCGGAGGCGGAGTCCCGGCTTTTTGAGTACGTAGACAACCGAGTAAAGTCCCCACTTCCCCCCAGCATCTCCCGACGCCCGAAACCGCGTCCGCAAAGCTCCGAAACCGGGACCAGACCGAGCCGAGCCGAACCCTCCGAGCAAAAAAAAACAAAGACAAAATGGTGGCCAAGCAGCGGATCCGGATGGCGAACGAGAAGCACAGCAAGAACATCACCCAGCGCGGGAACGTCACTAAGTCCACGGTGAGAGCTTTTCACGCAACAAAACTCCTCAAAAACTCCACAGAAACTCCACCAAAGTCACATTTAATGACTGAGAATGTGTCCAGAACCGGTCCGGCTGAGCTGTTTTCGTGTTTTAAAGCGTTAAAAGCGCGTTAAAGTGAATCAAAACTCTCCAAAACTCAACATAATCCGCGCTTTATCTTGACTACTTTGATAATTGACTTTTTCATTGACATTTTCCGACAAAAAAACCCCCAAAGATTTAAGATTGAAATATTTTAAGTTGCGTCCCACTTTTATGCTCACATATGTTTAGAAGTTTAGTGAAAAGTGTTAGTAAATGAGAAAAGTCGTGAATAAAAATAAAAACGTAGCTTGCAAATGAAAACGTGTTAAGTTTTGTTGTTGTTTTGCAGAAAAGTGCACAGAAATGTCCTTGAATTTGTGTTTTTGCGAATGTTCAGAAACTCTTTACATTTGCAGACGTCATCACGATCGGCGGATGAGTCATTACTACTTAACTACGTGTGTAATTCTTCTACGTAACAGGAACTAAATGTGATTAACTCGTGCGATGCTGAACAAAAAGATAATAATAATAATAATAATAATTACACTTAAATATTATAATTACGCGTCTTAAACTTGCTTCGGTTTATTTTGCAAAGTTTCAGACCGGACCGGGGTCAAAGTTGAAAAAGTTGAACAGAGCCACGTCGTCATAAAAACCCTGCAGCTGTTTTTTTTTTTTTTTTTTTATGCTTCCTTTCGTAGCTCCGTTTTTATGAAATATATATTTATTTGAACATAAACATACACACAACACACTGGGGGCGTCGCATTATCAAAAAATAAAAAAATATATAATTCCGTTTCAATTATAAAATAACTACAGAAATAAATCGGTTATATTTTTACATTTTATCGAAACGGCCGGAGTTTTGGCGTCGAGCTTTAGTTGTTTTCCAGTTTTCCCTGTGTGGTCTGGGAGCTGGAATACGATTGAATTTATCTCGTTACGAAAACAAGATAATGAAAATTTGCTGCAGTGTCTGTGGTTTTTCGCCAAAAGCAAAACAATATTTAACTTTCGACGCAACTCGACTTTATTTTTTACATAAACAGTGACGAATATAGTGACGCGTCTGGAGAAAAAGTGAATATTTACAATTATTTCTGTTAAAATATTTTAATTGTCCACAGAAAATAAAATGTTAAATGTTGAGTGTGGCGATTTTTATTTTTAGATTTCGCTCCAGTTTCTGACGTCTGGACAAAAAACGAGAGCGTGAGGACGTTCGTAAAACAAATGATCCAAAGATTCTTCTTCTGAATCACAAAAAAAACCACAAAATAAAAGCTCAAATTTGAATTTAAATCTTGTTTTCAGAATCAGGAGGACGAGTCTGCAGACGCCTCAGTGCCTCAGTTGGATTCACGGGTTTATTCAGACTCACAAACGACTAAAACACAAAATAGAATCTCACGTGTCGTTTGTTCGTTTGTTTTTCAATATAAAACCTAAAAAATAAGAAAACGAAAAAAACAACAGTTTTCTTCATTATTTGTCTCCAAAACCAAAATGAAAAAAACAGATAATGATTAATTTTTTCAGTTTTCAATTTTGTGTTTTAATGAAAAATGGAAAAAATGGATAACTGACTAAACCAGGTCCAGGACCAGACTTAGACCGGGACTTAGACCGAGACCGGGACTTGGACTGGGACTTGGACCGAGACTGAAACTGAGACTGAGACCGGGACTTGGACTGGGACTGAAAACGGTTCTGTCCTGGTTTAATCCTGGTTTAATCCTGGTCCAGTTTCATCCTGGTCTAGTCCCGGTCTAGTCCTGGTCTAGTCCTGGTTTAGTTTAGTCTGTTTTCCGCTTTTCCATTTTTCATGTAAACACAAAATCGAAAAATGAAAAACCAAATAAAATCTTTATCTTTTTTTTTTTTTTTCATTTTGGTTTTGGAGACAAATAATGAAGAAAATCGTTGTTGATTTTTTTTGTTTTCTTGTTTTTTGTTTTATTTTGAAAAACGACTAAACGAACGACACGTGGATTAAAGTCTTAGTTTTTCTACTGGATGTAAACGCGGCGTTTCTTTTACTTGTGATTCTTTTTACGCTGAAATAACAGTCGAACAAATATTTCGATTTGTTTGATTTTTCTCACAAATGCAGAGGCTGAAAAACGAGGTGTCGCCATTTAAACTTTTCCTTTTCTATAAACCCGGACGTGTTCAAATGTTTTTGTGCGTCACATGATTTATTTATTTATTTAAACAGATTTTGACGTCGTCTTCGTTCTGTCGTTTTTCTGATTAGATCAAACCAAAGTCCAGACGAGTCCAAACGTTTGTGTCAGAGCAGAGACGGATCAGAACCTGCGCACGCTTCACCTTTAAACACACACACAAACACACACACACACAAAAAACACACACAAAACACACACAAAAACACACACAAACACACACACACACAAAAACACACACAAACACACACACACAAACACACACACACAAAACACACACAAAACACACAAAACACACACAAAACACACACAAAACACACACACACACACACACAAAAACACACACACAACAAAACACACACAAAAAACACACACAAAACACACACACACAAAAACACACACAAAAACACACACACACACACAAAACACACACACACAAACACACACAAAAAAAGCACACAAAAAAGCACACAAAAAACACACAAAAAAATCACACAAAAAAACACAACACAAAAAAAAAAACAGTGAAGAGTTTAAATGTTTTTTAAACAGGAGACAAACTTTTATCGTTTAATTTTAAATCCTCCCATTTAAATGAGACCAGACGAACTGAAAGAGTAAAGGTCTGAACCGGGTCTGAACCGGGTCTGAACCGGGTCTGAACCGGGTCTGAACCGGGTCTGAACCGGGTCTGTTTGTGTTTCAGAGGAGTCTGGAGGACAAAGGTGTTGGTCCATGGCTGTTGGCGCTCTTCATCTTCGTCGTCTGTGGATCAGGTCAGGACTAAACCTGGACTAAACCTGGACTGAAACCAGGACTGAAACCAGGACTGAAACCAGGACTGAAACCAGGTCTAAAACCAGGTCTAAAACCAGGTCTAAAACCAGGTCTAAAACCAGGTCTAAAAATGGGACTAAAGCAGCAGCACACACACTGTGTGTGTGTGTTTGTGTGTGTGTCACACACAAACACACACACACACTCTGTCCTGACACATGTTCAGATTCTCACAGGTTTGTTCACAACAACAGAACAAAGTCCAACTGATAAACACCTGCACCAGCACACACCAAAGACAAGGTCTGGACCGGGGTCTGGACCGGGGTCTGGACCGGGACCGGGGGACTGGGACCGGGGACTGGACCGGGGACTGGACCGGGGACTGGACCGGGGACTGGGACGGGACCGGGACGGGACCGGGGACGGGACCGGGGACGGGACCGGGGACGGGACCGGGGACTGGACCGGGGACTGGACCGGGGACTGGACCGGGGACTGGACCGGGGACTGGACCGGGGACGGGACCGGGGACGGGACCGGGGACGGGACCGGGGACGGGACCGGGGACGGGACCGGGGACGGGACCGGGGACTGGACCGGGGACTGGACTCTGTAGCCGCTGCTCAGTCTCTGAATCTTGTTTTTGTTTTTCCGCAGCCATTTTCCAGATCATCCAGAGCATCCGGATGGGCATGTAACCACGGCGACGCTCTGGGGGCGGAGCCGAGGCCGCAATGGATTTGTGCCGTGGCCACGCCCCCTCTTGAACTCTGACCTCTGACCTTGACATCAAATGGCATTACTCTTCGGAAATTGGATCAAAACCAGGACCAAACCGGATCTGAACCAAGGACTAAAGCTGGACCAAAGCCGGACCAGGTCCGGACCAGGTCTGGACCGGGTCTGGACCCGGACTTTAAAGATCATTATTCTGATCATTCCCTCATTTGTATAAAGTTCCTTCAAACTCACGTCGGTTTAAACGTTTGTGGTTTGAAGATTCGCCTTAAAATATTTTGTGGTAATTGTAAAATTTAATAAAAAATGTGAAAAACATTTTGACTCGTGTTTTAAATCAAACACAAACGAGACGATCAGATCAACAGAACAGCCAATCAGGAGCGAGGCTGATGAAGGCCACACCCCCTGTCAATCAAACCTGTTGCTAACACTAGTGGGCGGGGCCTCGGGGAAAGAAGGCATCTGATTGGTCTGTTCTGAATGTTCAGATCTGAATTTAGGGACAAATCGAGAAAAAAAAGAGAAAATCTGAATGAGCAGCAGCGACACGAGAGACTCCTCCTCCTCACAGGTGAGTCTGACTCCTCCTCCTCACAGGTGAGTCTGACTCCTCCTCCTCCTCACAGGTGAGTCTGACTCCTCCTCCTCACAGGTGAGTCTCAGGTGAGTTCTCCTCAGGTGTGTGTCCCTGTTCTTCGTCTTCGTCGTTCTTCTGTCGCTCCGTTTGTGTCGATGAATAAAACGAGCAGGTCAGACTCGGGACAGACCGACCTGAAGTCTATCACAACTAACGGAAAAAGTTCCATAGTGCAGCTTTACAGATTAGTGGAGTGATTCCAGCTGATGAACACTGCCCATGTGTCCTTGAGCAAGACAAGTGAGAAGAAAAAGACCGCAGAGAAACACCACGACCACAAGAGGGAGCCACAGAACCAGGACTAAACCAGAGACTGGACCTGGACGTGTCCCTCAGGAGGTGTTCGTGTCCCACCGGGAGGAGGAGAAGACCCAGGAC